TACTACTATATATATATATACTACTACTACACACACACACACACACACACACACACACACACACACACACACACACACACACACACACACACACACACACACACACACACACACACACACACACACACACACACACACACACAAATACATTGTGAAGGCAACTTCTTTTGTAAAAAAAATATTGCCACAAACCATCATAAGGTTGTGTTGATTGGCACAACAGGACATTGAGAAAGAATTGCTCTGACGAAAAGTGGGATTAGATGGAACATTAATGTGTTTCATGTCATGTATTTTTTTTTTTTATTATTATTATTTGTAATTTATTTTAACATTTTGTATCTTTCATTTTGTTATTCTTTCTTTTTTTATTATTATTAATGTTATTTTCATTTTTGTCCTGTCCTTCATTTGTGTCTCTTGCCTGTACTAAATAATGAAACACACACACACACACACACACACACACACACACACACATCTCCATCCTCACAACCACCACAAATACACCACAAACCATCAACGACCATCATCATCATCATCATCATCATCATCATCATCATCATCATCATCATCATCATCATCATCATCATCATCATCATCATCATCATCATCATCATCGTCATTCTCTCTGACACACACACAGGTTGATATGAGCTGCTTCAGTGTTGCTCAATGTTTAAAATATAAGTGTTACAATAAAAGTTGAATTGTGTCCTTAACTAAACACACGTTCTCTCTCTCTCTCTCTCTCTCTCTCTCGTAGAACACAGCCCAGATAAAGAAAAGAAGTCCCCGGGTAAGAGCAGTGTTCCGGATGTGTTTCACAATGTGTGTACTCTCCATGTGTGTTTGAGTGTGTTCCCTGCTGTGTCTCAGGAGAGTGGAGCGAGGCTCTGTACCCGCTGCTCTCCACGCTCACAGACTGTGCGTCTCTGATGAGCGACAAAGCCAAGAAGGCCATGGTGTTTGTTCTGATGCAGGACAGCGCCCCCACCATCGCCCTGAGCCTCACCATGCAGTACCGCCGCGACGTCGTCTTCTGCCAGACGGTCCGTCAACTTACACCTTCCCCTTTTCCCCTCGCTTTGGAAAATCATTTGTCATCACACAGTGTGCATCGTGCCTTACAGTATTTCTACCTTTAAAGTCGTAGGTGTGAGTACTTCCTCCACCTCTGTGTTGACTTGTGTTTTTCTTCTGACAGCTGACGGCGCTGATCTGCGGCTTCATCATCAAACTGAGGAACTCTCTCTGTGACTCGGGCTTCCTCAGACAGCTGCACACCATCGGCCTGCTGGTGCAGTACGAGGGCCTGCTCAGCACCTACGGTAACCTGTGTGGGAGGGTGTGTGAGGATGTGTGTGAGGCGTGTTTGTGCTTCTTTAGAAATGGACCATCACCCAGCAATATGGGAGTGCACACCTCCACCAAGTCTGTAGAATCTTGCAGAAGTTGTATTTCTATTATTTAAAATTCTGAGAAATGTAAAGCTAGATTAGCTCCCAAATATACTGTACATTGTGAAGACAGACTGTGATTTATCCTAAACCCTGTCCAAGAATATACAGTATATATATCATGTATTTTTTCGCCTAAAATGTCATGTGAAGAACACTAAACAGTGACAACTTGAATGTATCATGTTACTGGTGCATAAACACTCATAAGCTCACCTCATGATTGAATCAATATACTGTAAGCAGCATTGCTTTGAAGAACTGTTGATATATGCTGTCTTAATCTGAATTTGAACATTCGCAAGATAAGGCAGTTTATTTTAACTGATATAATAGAAAGAAATCCACTTTGGGATGATACAAATGTTTTGTTTGCTAAAGATTTTATGACATTTTTAGACGGAATAATCTTCACACTGACAAAGGTCATGAGTTATAAAAGAAATTCTTAAGGGCCTTTTTAATTTCCATAAATGTAATCTATCTCCGTATAACTTTTCATATCAATTTGAAATGAAATGTGTTTTTTTGAGAGTTTGCGATATTAAGCAAACATGCAGGAACCTAACCATAACATCTTAGTTGGTGTAAATGTTCGTCATGTTTCTTTCTTGTCTCTCAGGTGAGGAGCTGGCCATGTTGGAGGACATGAGCGTGGGAGTGATGGACCTGAGGAACGTCACCTTCAAAGTCACCCAGGCGACCTCGGCCTTCTCCCCGGACATGATGCCGGTGATCACAGGAAACAGGAACGGCTTCAACGTCAGGGTGCCGTTGCCCGGGGTGATGTTTGACACGTTGCCCCGGGAGATCCAGAACGGGATGCTGCTGCGCGTCCAGCCGGTCCTCTTCAACGTGGGCATCAACGAGCAGCAGACCATGGCCGAGAAGTGAGTCTCTGACGCGATAGGAGAGGAGGGTGGAGGGGTGGAGGGGGGAGGACAGGAAGAAATGAAGAGTAATAGAGCAACATTTGGATGTATAGGTCCATTTGTAGACATTGTGGTATGTTAAGCTTAGGTGTTAATACTCACATTTCTACTTAAGCGATTTTACCAAATATAAAATGGGAAAGCTCTTTAAAATACTCTCTGAGCATCAGGTTGTATATCATTTGAATAATTTAATAGATTCTGTCTTTTCCATTTGTTAAGGTTTTTTTATTAAAATAATGATTACAAAATCAATTAAAAAACTTGGCTTATCGATACTGTTTGGTAAATATATATTCCCCAGAAAAATCCAAATATTTTAAACCCAAAATATGAAATAAAATAAATGTGAATGACCAACTATTTAGCTTATTCATAAGGTTGAAATTGGAAAAACAACAACTTTGTGATCCATTATCTAGAAAACATTTATATATAATATACATAAATGCTATGATATAATTAACTGAATATACAAATGTGCTCATTAAAAAATAAAAACTGTATTCGCAAATCTGATAATGTAAATAAGAAAATTAATAAGTAATAAAGTAGTTTAATATTTTGTATTTATGACTTGGAAGCCTTTAAAAAGCATCAGTTTCCTGAATGAGCAGAGAGAGAGAGAGAGAGAGAGAGAGAGAGAGAGAGGGAGAGGGAGAGGGAGAGAGAGAGAGAGAGAGAGAGAGAGAGAGAGAGAGCATAAACTCATGTTATACAGTAGGAAAACTAATGATATTTCTCAATAACACTACTGACTTTGGTTGAGACATGTATAAGACTCGTGAGATGGTCCTGAAGGATCTGAAATCCTGCTTGTGTCCAGGTTTGGAGACACGTCACTACAGGAGGTGATCAACATGGAGAGCATGACGCGCCTCAGCTCCTACTTCGATCAGTTCAAAGAAGTGCTGCCAGAAGACTGTGAGTTTCATACATAAACAACACTCGTATCAGAGGTTACATGTGTATCTTGTTGTTTTATTGGCTCCCCCCGCGCTCCTCAGGCCTGCCTCGCTCCCGCAGCACCACCAGTGTTCCCGATCTGCTCAGACAGCTGAGCCTGAACGTGAACGCCAAGAAAAACAAGAACGTGGAGATCTTGTGGCAAGCAGCCGAGGTAAACTCACCCTTCATCACTTCTCTGTGCAAATGTGCTCTTCTTCACATCTGCAGTTTGCCTCATCAATAAGGCCCTGAACCCCCTGGACTCTTGTCCCCTCACACAGACTCTACACTTTACATTATCATCTTCACATCTGTCTGCATGCATTACATAAACACATGCTGTATCTGTGGGATTATAGCTCTGGACGTTGCATTTCTTCACACTGTAAAACATTTCTTGGGCCATTTGCACATCTCTGCAAGAAAGTATTACAACTGCACCATCAAATATATTGTACACATTTCTTTTCCTTTCATAATTTGATTGCAGTTATCTTCTATTCTGTATCTAACTTTTGTACTTCTGTATTCATCTTACTTGGTTAATGTTATGCACCGAAGCATGCTCCTTGGTCAACTGCATTTTCATGCACAAAATAACCAATTCTAAAAAAAATCTTTTTTATTTTAATTTGGATATTCTAAATATTTTTCTAATATATTTCATATTATTTGTAATTCTTTTCATGGTTTTTTATGTTCTTCTATTCCTCATTCTTTTTTTTTTAAATTGACGTTAACAATATGCAACTTTGCCCATTTCTGCAAAATACTACTATCCTTAACAACTGCACAGCTCTTTCCTTTTAATTCAGATATATTATATATATTTAATAGTACGTGTTTGGTTTTTTTCTATACAGGTTTAATTTGAATTCAGATATATACATAGATTTTAAAGTTTTTTGTATTGACTTTTTCTTCCATATCTATGTTTATTTCCTCTTACTATGTGTATGTCATGCACCAATACACAACAGCATTTTCCTTGTGTATAAAAAACCTGATTCTGCTGTAAAATCTCCTCTCATCTCACTCTCCAAACCCCTGAAGGCGTGCCGGCGTCTGAACGGCGTGCGCTTCACCAGCTGTAAGAGCGCCAAGGACCGCACGGCCATGTCTCTGACCCTGGAGCAGTGCCAGGTCCTGCAGCAGGAGCACGCCCTGGCCCCGCAGGTCTTCTACCAGGCCCTGGACTGTATGCGCAGGTGAGCTGATCATAAAGGTCATACATCTCAATCATGTAACCAAACCCCCTGCAGCTCATTGTAAAAAATAAATAATGCATTGCTTGTGTGTCTCCACAGTGAGGGCTGCAGGAGAGAGAACACCATGAAGAACGTGGGATGTCGTAAATACGCCTTCAACGCTCTGCAGCTCAAGGCCTTCCCCAAACAATACCGCCCTCCAGAGGGGACGTACGGGAAGGTCGAGACCTAATCTGAACTGGAGGAAACCCAAAAGACTGGAGGGGATTATGATGATAGCACCACACAAACAAAAAATACCGAACTGGAACAACAGCCCTTTGTTTTGTGCTTAGTCACTGTTACGATAATAAATGTCCAAGTGCTACTGTAGATTGTTTTCTAGCCGTTGCCCCCCTCCTCCAGTAGTGCTAGAATCACACACTTTTCACGACCACTTCACAGACAGAGACGGTAGAGATGGCTTTCTGTGTCACATTGTAGCCTCTGTGCAGAAAACACTGTGTGCAGACGACCAGTCGTAGCATCAGGAGTACATCGTGTCCGTAGAAAAAAGATCTGGAATAGTCTCAGTCTTTAGAAAGACGATGAGGGACACGTTTGTTATTTTCCTTTTTTATTTATTTGTATCAGATTGTCAGATGGTCAAGGCCGAACCATTTTTGATATTCCCACAAAATTGATTGCAAAGACTAAGACGAACAATGAACATTGGTGCCAAAAAACGATGAAAAGCACATCAACGAGCCACACTTGCACTGGCTGACAGGTCCCTTATTACGGTGAGCATGGGCATTGTAGTTTATTTTGAGTAAATGCCACATACACAAAGTTACTGCTGTAAAACTCACAAAATGTGTATTTATCCACCCCTGAAAAGTCCTAAACAAATGTTCACTCCTGCTTGATTAACATTTACGTTATGAGCTACAGTGCCCTGCTGTTTGCGGAATTACAGAGCTCCCTTAAAAAAGAGTTTAACTACATATCTGTGAGCAGATTTTAAAGATGGGCTTGGAGCTGAGAGACACAGAGAAAATAAGGCATTGTTAATGTTGGTCTTTTAATTGGATTTGTGTTGCTGATGCTGTGTAAGCTTTTCTCTTATTTGTGGAATGCTAAAAGATACACATTTAGGCGAAAGACAACAGCAGTAAAAAAGTGTTGTCTGGAAACACTATTTTGAAAATGTGTCTTTTAAGAAACAGCTACAATTCTAGTAGTAGTAGCTAGTGTAGCTTTGATTAAAAGATCAGAACTTTGATCATATTTTTCTGGACCTAAATTGAGCTGCAGAATGACTGTTGGCATAAAGAAGTCAAAGCACTCATTTGATTCATTGCAGAGCTTTTAGCCTGCTGTCTATTTCTATTGCTGTCTCTCCTTTTTCTCGTATATAACACCAACTAATCTAAATCAAGCACATATCCGACCCCACAGTGTGGCATTTGTATAATGATGTCTCACCTAATGTGATTTCTCTTCTGATGCTACACTGGAAGCAGTGAGGGTTTACAAATCGTGGTGCGTCACATTACTCTATAAACATATCGACGGATATTTAGGATATTTTGAAATGTATATGCAGCACTATGGTGGTTTGATACCCATTGAAACTTGAGTTGTTAATGTTTACAAAGCTTGTGTTGAATTATGCAGAATGAAAATTGGATAAAAACCACGTTTATTTAACCTGCATGAAGATGATTTGAAAAACTGCTTTTTACTATTGCAATTGTATACTGTTGCAATGTAAGAGTTTGAACACTTGATACATGTTTTAAGACTGAAATAATGCATATTGCATTTTTCTCCCAACATCAACAACACCTCTTCTGTTGTACCAGCGCTATTGTACCTTATTGTACAAAACCTACAGAGACAGTGGATTTTATTTTGAAAATGTTATTTTGCTTACATGTATTTATGTTGATATGGCTGTTGTTGCGAAATGCTGTTATAGTTTTATCCATTGTTAATGAGTAAGTTAGGACCTTGTGATCCGTTGTACACGCACACAGGCTGGAGGGGGGGGGGTTAAAGATGCTTGCACCCCCACAGAGGTATGAAGATATACTGGATAATGAATAAAGGCTTGTCAATGCCAAGTGAGTGTATCCGTAAATTAAATGACCTTTGTGAATTGAGCAGCAAATATTTCATCATCTAACATTTTGTCTCATAGAGAAGCATCTTTAAAAAGTAGCTGCACAGTGATATGTTTGAAATCTGTCAGAATAAATATCTCTATATTTATTTTGTCTTATCTATGAATACATTTGAGGAATTAACGGTAGGTGTCATAACATTCCACAAAAATCCCTTTACTTCTTTTTGGACATAACCATTCAGTCCAGTGTTACTCACGGAAGTGCTATCTAAATCACTTCATGCATTGATGGTCTCCTGTTGGTTATACTACAACACTTATTTTGAAAACAATAGGCTATTGCATAATTTTAGTGAATGTTTTTTGTGGAAATTAATAAATGACTAGCCTGTTGTTAATGCAGTGCTACCAAAAGCACTTTACACATCATGGTCTACTACTGGTTATAATACCTAACACTTATTGTGAAGAGTGGTTTTTTGTGACCAACATTTTATTATGTTTTCACTTGTTGACTCAAACATGCAGAACGTAAATAGAGGAAAAATAAATAAGGACAGATGCCATATGAGTCCTACTCTTTCAGAATAATAATACAAAGCTGCATTATTTGAAGTCGCTGGATCAAATAACCAATGCTTTTTGAGAATATTCCTATTATTTATTTTAAATCTCCAGCCACACAGGCCAGCCTTCCAGGGATTTATTTGTTCCTGTGTATTTGGTGGCACTACACAGAGGAGTTATTTATTATTTCCCACAAGAAAAAATCACCAACATGATGTAAAAGTATATAATTTTCAAAATTAGTATTGTAGTATTTAGGGATGTGAAGTGGTTTGATAGCACTTCTCTGTAAAACGAAAACAAATATTGTGTTCCCCTTTAAAAGCATTACCGGAAATGTCGTCATTGTTGTAGATGTCCTGTTTGTTAAAGAGGAGTCACTTCTTCAGTAAAACAAATGTCCAGACTGGAAATGTAGATGCTTACTCTGTGATCCCATTTCTACTGTTAATTATACATTTACTACATTCCTGTTTATATTTGTGTGTGTATGTGTTGTATTTAATACATGTCTGTTTACACTACGGGTAATGATTTGCAATACTTTCTACCTACATTTTATTTTTGCTGTATTTTATTCATGTTAATGTGAAGCCCTATATTTTAACATCATTCTATTTATTACATTTGTATGCTTTTACTTGCCTACTTTTCCACACGTTGTTCTCATAACATCATACAGTGTGTGAACAGTCTGCTCTTAACCTTTATATAGCCTTTGCTCTTAATCCCGGTGCGGTTTTTGGTGTCAGAGTGAAACCTCTCTACATGTGTCTCCTCTCTGTCTCCATCTGTCTGCATGGCGCTTATTATCAGAACTGTTGTAAAACCATCTCACAGATTCTGCAGCAGGTGAGAGGCGAGGCTTTCACACTTTAAAGTTTAAACACTGGAGAGATGTTTGAGCAAGTTCACACAGCTTTGCTTCCTTTCATATATTTCTTTCAGATAAATCGTGTTAGCTTGCTGTGTTTCAGTTCACCGTATAAATCAGAAACGCGTGAAAGACATTGTCAGACTCGTTAAAGCAGAAATAAGAGAGATGTGATTACAGTATTTAAACTCTCACATGAGGAAATGTGGTGTAATTAAGTACATTAACCCAAATATTCTATTCAAGTACAAATGTGAGGTACTTTTACTTGTAGGCCTATTTGTTATTGCTAATAATAATAATAATAATAATAATAATAATAATAAGACAACATATAAATCAACTAATACATATTAAACATTTTACCATCTGCAACACTAATGTCATGCAACATATTTCTGATTCTTAAATAGGCAGATCTTCATGATGAATAGGCAACTTTTCCTTTTGGGAGTTTAAATCTACTAAAGTAAAATGTTCAGGACTGTCTGTATATGGGGTATCGTTGTACTGTGGCATAAATACACTTTCAATATGTTTTGCATGTGTTTTAATTCCAAGTCTGATAATAGATACATTTTTACATTGAATGATTAATCAGAGGCTGATTTATCATTAACTTGTGCTTGCATAACTCCTCCCATTCAGTCCACTGTTCTCCATTCAGTCTCTGATCCTCTTCTCGCTGCTCAAAGGTTGTTTGCAGCTGACCGGCGGTGGTTCCACTCTGTTAGAGGAAGTGAAGCAGCCGGAAAACACTACTATTCATCTTTCTCCCACTCAGCTACAGGTAGGAGTTGTCTTGTTAAAAATGTACGAATCTCTCTGAATCCTACGGCTCATATCCAGGTTCATATTAGTATTTTGTGTCTCTACGGTGACATGTCTCCATGCTTTAATGTTCAAAAAGCTCTTTATTGTTCTCATACTGCCTGTGCTGCAGCACCTCTGTTCACCCTCTGTCTGAAACCTGAGCCCAGTCTGCTCTGATTGGTGAGCTGGCCGGCTCTGTTGTGATTGGTCAACTGCTTAGAGTTGTCCCGCCCCTTAGCCTATCACGTACAATGTGTTGGAGTGGTGGCCAATAGAAGTGTGGGTGTTGCATAGTGATGTCACTATGTTCCCAAAGTCAACAATGGAGTCAAATGGAGGTGTTTCAGGCAGGGAGCTGAGTGTGTGGGAGAGAAAACTCCCTTTGGAGCGAACACAGGGATTTTTGCCTTGTGTACAAGATGCACAATAGGCTGCACAGCATTGGTATCTGTGTGTAGCAGGTTCATACCCTCAGCTAGTTCACAACCAGAAGTGATTGGATTCATGTTCCACAGAGTCTGCATGAAGGAGGCATCCACCATCAGATCTCCACTGGCGTAGGACAAGTGCTGAGGACAGGGGGCAAGGTCTAAATTAGCACAAATGAAATGTCTAAATCTTCCATTGTGTAACAGCAAAGTATGTGAGGAGTCTTACCAGGTATCTCTCAGAGGAGACGCTGACGAGGATGAGGTCGTCTCCCACCCTGACCTTCTCACCTTCTGACCTTTGCTTAGAGGCGGGATGAATCGTCCACCAACAGGCCTCACCTGCAAGAAGAGCAAACAGCTAAGTTTGCCCTCAGAGGCGGAGACAGGCCACTGATGTGTTCACTTTACGGATATCAAACAGTGTTTCTGTTTGCAGTCTTTTATCGGACTTTGACCAAAACATCTATAGACACATTTTAATCTTCATAATGTGGGGTAAAAAAATTCCTCCTAAGCACAATTTTAAGTGTATTAAAAATTGGCAGAATAATTGAGTCAGGATCAGCTGCTCTTATAAATGCCACAAGCACACAACGAGAGGCCGTCACCATAAAACGCTCCTGGAGTTTTATGTATGAGGAATAATTGAATTTGCAGCTCGCGGAAAGGGCCGTACACCTGCCGTGTCTTTTTTAGGTCAAATCCAATATTGCGAATGTTTACGCTCCTATTGTTCAGGGTGAGTCCACTACAACTGTGCCCAGTAAAAAAGTATTGTACCTTTCAGATTTCTCTGAGCAGGAGACACAACAAACATCTTTACAAAGACATGGAGGGTAATATAACACCAGGAAGTCATGTATTGTAAGAATTAATAAACATGGTTTGGTGAAAAAGTATCAATATATCTAACTAGAGCTATTTATTGAATACTAATTGAGTATTTTCTTTTGCACATGGTCACATAGATTTACAACATTGATTGTACAGCAACAAAGTGTCAAAGAGGCGATGATTCACACAAGTCTATTGACGGGACTTACTTACTATTCAATAAAACATAAATCGACATGCTTTGATGATGTCATTCTTTATACAGATGTAGCACTGAATTTCAGACTCCAGCTTACAGCTTCCTGCCTACGACCTGCCTAAAACCAGTATAGAGGAATGTTAAGCCCTCCCACTATTTTCCAAGAGGGCGTTGCCAGATTTTCAATTTCAGGTTTTAACCAGGAGATGGCGCTTCATTCACAAATACAGAAAGACAAGTTTCATGGACTTTCAGTTGTGTTTTGAAGAGCATTTGAACACATCAATATTTTAGATCAACTAAAGTATATCTAATCTTTTAATTCAATGATATATAGTCTTTATATATTAAATAATCATAATTATAATGTAAATGTTTACATTACACTTCTTTATTTGTTATGCTCATACTTTTACCTTTACAATCGTTTGCTTTAATATGCAGTATATTTTTTGTATATTTTTGTGTTTGCTTCCTCCTGCTCCCNAAGTTTTAATGAAGTTGACTACAGTATATTCATATTTGTCAGTGCTTTCATGTCAATTCGGCGAACATAAACATATATGATCGTGGTGAAGATGATGATAATCATCATCTTCACCACGAT